GAGGTGGAGGCAGAGGAGGCTGACAATGCATGCATTCAAACAAAGTGAAAGTGCAAGTGGGAAAAATCTGACTGTTGGTAGAGCTTGTCAGAGGGCGTTTCAGGCATATCATGTATTAGGAAATCATAGTTATTTTAAAAGCAAAAGAATGAAACTTCTCAAAAGGAGCAGAATTCCAGAAGTATGCTAATGAGAAGTATTGGATGGCAGTGTTTAAATGTAATGTCATAGTTGCTAGTTGTCCCTGCTGTATGGATGTTTCCTAAGTGCAGTGTGAGTCTTAACCAAATCACATTTTAAACTCTATTTCCATTTGCTTCTCACTCTGTAAAATCCTCTCTAAAAAGGAGCATTGTCAAATAAATTGGTAAGAATTAAAATACTGCTGTTGTAGCTGAAAATAGTTCCTGCTTTTGATGTTGCATTTAGGCACAAACAAAAATAAACAGGCGATCATACAAAAACTGTTGAGAGGAGAAAGTGTGAGGTAGAAATGTAACCTGTGCTACTCACTTCTGGCCCTGGCCAGAAGTGTTAAGACCAAAATGTTGAACAGTGCTCACTTGCAACAAATATTACATAAATTCTTGCAAGGAGGAACTGAAGCAACTTTGATTTTTTTTTTTTTTTTGAATCACCAGTCTTGTGAAGAGTACTGATGTCTGCCCACATCTGGTTGGTGAATTGGATTAGAATTTAATTAGCATACAGAGTTTAGGAAACTTTTACAAAGTTTCAAAAATAATGTGAAAGGAATAAGGAATAGCTTAGCTAAAAATTCAGAGAAGAATTACTGAAATGTTCCTCTGAGCATAACTTGAAAATTGCTTTCCTGCTCCTTAAAGATGTAGCTCACATGAATGGTAACCTATTTTATTAACATTTTCTGTTCAGATAATTTGTTAAGTTTGAAGATATCTGTAGTATCTAATTGACCCGTGTAGCTAAGAGTCCATCTGGAAATCTAGGCACACACTAAGGAAGATCAATGAAGTGATTTTACTGTTTGTGAAAGCAATTTTTGTGGCCTAGTTTATGCATCAAAAAGGATAATTCACCTGTCCTATGTTTGTGAAGTACCTCAGCAAACACAAAAGGATAGTCTATTCACTTTATGCACTTACTTTTTCAACACTGTGTTGTAATGGCATGTTTCCAAGCAAAAACATACTTTAATCTCATTCACTTACATATACATCAACTATTTGGTATAGCAGAGTGGTTAAATTCAGGCTGAAATGTGGTCCAAAGGAGAAATGGAGGCAGAAATATGTTCTGTAATTCCTACTGTAGAGGAATAGAAATTCTTTCCCCATGTCTCTAAATTTAGGGCTTACACTAGCACTGAGAAGCAGTATTTTTAAAATAAAATGTTGATTTGTGAAATAGAAATGACAAATATTTTAAGATCCAAATGGCTGCTTTTTTGTCTTCCTTCTCCATTGCAGTTCGGAGTATCTGCTCAGCTTTAGAGATGCAATCTCTTTTTCTGTGTGACTGCACAGGGCTTATTTACAGAGCATATCCATAACTGTGCTTCAGCTTGCAGGGGTGGTAAGTAGAGCCCACTTTGTATTGGCAGCATTTCTTTTGTGTCCTTAAAGAAAAATCTTAAACAATATTTATAAGAAAGGATCAGCATAACAGTACCAGATGATTCAAACTGTGGAAAAATTATGTTTCACTTCTGTAGGGCATCCCACATACTTAGTTGCTATGTCTTGGCTTAGTTGGGATTCTTTTGCATGTATATATATATATGCACACACACATACATATTATTTTTTCTCTTTGATCTATTTAGAAGAGAGAGAAAACTATGTCAACATCTGCAGTGATGTTACATTGCATGCACATAGAGCATAGGCAGAAATAAAGGAGGAGTGTGTCTTTTGGGGAAAAAGGGGTTTGTAAGTATCCAGGTCCTTGAGTATTCCCGGGCTTCTTGGCTTCAGTGGTACAGCTCTGTGAGGAAAGCCCCTCTGGAGCAGAACACAGGCTTTTTTCCCTGGTTTGGGATCAGTTTGTGCAGCAAGTGTGGGACCATGCAGGATCCCTGTGGAAACTGCAGTGCTGTAGAATCATGGGTTCTGTCCAGCCAGAGCACTCCAGCTAGGGTGCAGTAGGATGATGTGGGGAAGCATTTACTTCTTCTCTCACTCTGCTCTACCCTGCTTGCATCATTCTCCTGATCTTGGTCATGATATAGCTGGTGGCCCAGCTCTTCAGTATTTGGCATTTCTGCTTTCCAACCTTGACATGAAAGGAATTTTATGTTTTATGATCCTGATCCTCTCTCCAAGGACAAACTTGAAAGCCATAGTATTTTTTCTTTAACATCTGTGTGTCTCAATAAGTTTTGGGACTCTTGCATTTGGAGCAGAAAATTCAGGCTAGCAAATTTCTACCATTTCTTGAAAGGACTGAAAATCACCTCTGCCTTGACACCTGCAGCAAGATCCCCCCAAGTCAGGGCAGTGTTTAGAAAGTAACAAAAATAGTAATGATCCTTGAAATTGGTTTTGTTAGACTGAGTTAAAAGGACAGGAAAGGAAATGTGCGGAGCTTGTCCTGCTTCATAGCACATCAATCTCTTGTGTGAGTGCCAGTAGTTTTGGGGTTTGGTTTTTTTCATGAGATTAATATAGAAGGCCAGAAACTATTTCTGCCTACAGGAGCAGGCATAGTATATCCTGCATTCTCTGTGTCTTCCTCCTCTGACTGAATGCTGAAGCATGAAGCATATTCTGAGATGTTTCTATGCTGTGCACTTGCACAGTAGAAAACAGCAGTAGGTGGGGTATTGGAAAAGTTAATAACACTTACTCAATGTGGAGGTGAGAAGGTAGTTTTGTTTCAGCAAGACAGTGACTCATGATGCCAAAATGAATGTGATGAGACTCATTTATTTTAGCTTAGATATCACACATACCTGTTGAGGTCTGAGATAAAGCAAGCAAACCCTCAGTAAGCATACTGTCAGAGTTCAATACCCTGTAGTGATCCAAGTTGTAAAAGCCTGCCTCATCACATGAGAGCACAGAGGGCTCTTTCTGGGGCCTTTTGAAAGGAAGAGTGGTGCCTTTGTTGGCAGGGTGCTGCCCTGTGCCAGAACACCACAGCGGATGGCAGCATGTGCTCTGCATTCATCGTTGGTCTGAATCCAGCGATTCTGAAGAATAAAGGAAATTTGAGAATATTTCCTGGATTGGGGAGTGCTATGAACAGGTCCCATTGGGTGTCAGCAACATGAAAGGCACTGCTTTACCCTGGTTTGAGTTTGTTCACTTCCTCTCTTCTTCACACCCCAAGATGCTGAAGAGAAATTCTGCAGGTGAGGCATAGTATTTCTAAATACATGGAGGGCTTTTTGTTCTCAGCTTTCTCTTTCCTTGGCTTAAATTCAAAGTAATGACACTGTTTTACCTGAAGTTTCTTTTGACGACCTTCACTCCTAAGAAGCCTAAAATCTCATTCCTGAGTTTCCTGGGCATATCTCTTACCACCTGTGGTGGGTTGACCCTAGCTGAACATTCAATGCCCACCAAAACCACTGCCCCCCACAACTGGGTAATGCAGAGAAAATGTAGCACAAATCTCATGGGTTGAGATAAGGAAAAGTATATGTGAATGGAGCTGAGATCTGTTCTATTTCATTTTCTGTGTCAAGCTGTCGTGGCATTTGATTCCAAAGGACTCATCTCAGAAGGAATGGTTACAAAGTGAAGTTCTCATTCTAGTGTGAATGAGAAAACCAGTCCTCGTTTTGGTCTTTAATTCCTCATTTCTCCTGCCTAGACTGTTTTGTTACTCTCACCCATCTGTTAACGACCTAATGAAGGCCTCTGAAGGGTTTCTTAAGTCCCTTCTCCTTTTTTTTTTTTGACATTAGACTTCCTGTGGTAACATGGAAGCCTTGTATACTGTTTTGGTACCAAGTTGTGAAATGCCTCAGAGCACAGGAAAACCATGTCCAGCCTTTAAAGGCTGTGGTGCCAAATAATGTGTAGTCCTCTCCTGCCAGATTCCGTAGTGCCCCTGAACAAACACACTGAAAGTGAACCTGTGGCTACTGGAGACTATGAAAATGCTTTCCAGGGAGTCAAGCTGACAGAGCTGGTGCATCAGAGAAGAGTGTGAATCACTAAGGGTCAGACCCTTCGGCTGTGGATGCTCAGTGTTGCAGAGGATCTTGTGGGGAGAAGGGAGGCTCCCTCCCTGCTGGAAGGAGGAGGATGCCCACAGTCAGACCTCAGTCTCTGCTGCGCGGTTGCTATATGGACACGGCTCTGTGCCAGTGCCAGCAGCTCTGTCACTGCCTGGGGACCGGTGAGTGACATGCCTCTCCTGCCAGGTCGTGCAGATCTGCAGGGGCTGGCGCTCTGCGGGAGGCAGCGCGGTGCTGCGTGGGCGCTTGGCACATGGCTGGGAATGGTTGAGAGCAAAGTGCTTGTGCACAGCAGACACTGTTGAGTACCTTGAGCTTTGCTGCAGAAGAAATCAAGGAGGAGAGATGGATGCTCATCCTCAGGAAAGTTTCCTGAAACAGAACAAAAGAGTCTGAACAAAGCAGACATTTCTCCTACAAGACTCCTTCTGCAGGCTGCAACCCAGGCTTTTTTCTGAAGAGCTTTTATATCCACCTCACTTGCAAGCTGCCTGCCTAGGATCTCATTGGCATTCTGCTTTTCTGCTGTAATCTCATGTTGTTAAGGAGTGTGATTTTTCTTCTTAGCTGTGCCACATATAGAAGATTACATAAATACTGTGGAAATTTTGGGAGAGGGAAAATGAAGTAGAAGAAGAAAAAGAAGAAAAACCAAACCCAAACCACAAACCCTTCCTCTAAGAAGCATTTTGACTTTGTAATATTATGTCTTCCTCACAGAGGAAATTCAGTTTAATGTAGGAGGAAGGCAGACATGCCTCTTTACCAAGAAAACCACAAACTGGCTTCCTAATGGTCCAACTGTGTTAATGAGCAATTACAGACAAACACACTGAGCTGAGGTAGATTTATTCTCCTGGCAGCTGTTGACCAAAGATGGTTTGATGCAGCAGTGCTTTTTCCTCCTCTTCAGTGTTGAACTCATTTCCATCTCCTTCCTCTTGCCCTCTTTTCCTGGGTAAATAGAAATTCACTTTCTAGATTGAAGCCATTTCATAAAGGTGATACTTCTGAGATTCAGCTCTCCCATTAAACCAAAGGATAATTCTAGGATGGACAGAAGGCCTTTTTTTGCTCCTCCTTACAGCACAATGCTTCAGTTTCTCATTTTCAAAACAGGTACTTTAAAAAATGTGCCCAGGATACAGGGGTATAATTTAGCTTTGAATACAGGACCCTTTCTGATGGATTGCCGTGAATGTGTGTGAGCTCTGAAATCCTCGATGACAGGGTCTGTGTCAGTGTTGAGGGCAGCCAGGCCAGCTCTCTGGGGGGGACCCTGGGCTGCCGTTCAGTGCTAGCAGTGCACAGACACCGTGTTGCTCTTTGCAGTATCGAAAGGCTCTTTTAAAGTCTGAAACCAATCAAATAATAAGATTTTATCGGTTGTGCTCCCTTCTTTATAGAAAGAGTGAAAATTTGTTAAATATGGTTGCAACTGGGGACGGAGAGGAGGAATAAAACTTCAAACAGTGCTGCTAAAAACAGCCTAGGCTGCTTTTGTTTGGACTTGCAAAACGCGGCAGCTTAATGCCTCCATTGTATGCAGGGGGAAATATGCTAATTCAAAGCACATTTCCCATCAGAAGCCCTTTCAGGCCTGTCATCGCTGAGATATGAAGGATGATAAAAGCGGGGAGCAGGGGAGGCCGCTGCTGTGGGAGCGCGGCTGCGGGCATTGTGCGCTCAATGCGGCTGCCGAGCCCGCTCACCCGTGAAGGCCCGGCCCGGCCGGGTTCCCATGGGCGCCGCCGGCCCCGCCAGGGCTCGGGCCTGGGGCGGCCTCAGGGCCCGCGGTGTGCGAGCACCGGCCAACAGCGCCCATCCCGCAGCCCCCTGACCCGGGGTTACTCTCTGCGTAACACGGACAGCTACTTTCTCTTCACTTTAAGTGCACTTTAAGCTGAAATAACAGATTTTTTGTGACAAGGCCTCCATCGGTTCTTTTCCAAGTTGCTGATGCGTGCAGGGCAGTGGCGCTGAGCTCCCTCTGTAAAGGGACGCCTTCAGCTCGGGAAATGGGGGATGCTGCAACTGGCAAGAGTTTTTTCTTTTCAGTTATGCAACAGAAGGGAGTCTGTGAAAAGCTGCTTATTCTGTTACCGTATCTATATGGTTATGTTTGAGGTTGAAATAAATGCATTCTTCAGTGTTTGGTATGTCTGTTTGAGGTTGAAATAAATGCATTCATCAGTGTTCAGTATGTATTAAACATCTTTAAATACTGACTGATATGTATAAAAGCCTAGAGTTTGGGGTTTTTATCCTTCTCTCCTAAAGTTGCGAAAAGGTCTTTAAATGATGGGGTTTGTCCCAGGACCCTGTTGGTCCTGAACTAGGGAGATGCTCAGTTTACTCAGGAATACATTTTCTGTCTTCCTTTAAACACGTGTGTGTTGTTTTATTGTAGAGAATTTGGGCTTTAGTGAAATTGACGACCTGATAATGTTGCTATGATATTTGCTTGGAAACAGTTGGAAGTGGCAGTGAAAAATCAGTTATAGCTTGTTTGGTTCTATAAACCTGCAGTGTACTAATGGCAAATTAAACTAAGAAAATGGGCTTTTGATTGTGTTTGCAATCTGGTGGTGTTCTGTCTGCAATAGAATATGTACTGCACTTGAACACACAATTAGTTTCTGAGACCATGGGTGGAAGTAAGTGCTTATAAATACTCTTAAAGCTCGGGCTGGTCAGTTTCTTCCCTGTGCTAATAAACTTGAGAACAAGCAGTTTGGGCTGGGTGATTTTGGCTAAGCATGAGAAACTATGGACTTTTTCTGCAACTTGTGGACAAGTCTGTGAGATGCAACATGCCTTTGGTCACCTCCACCTACACTTGACATAGTAGTTTTTTTCTACATAGTGTTCTTCTGTTCTTCAACAGAAAAAACCTCAGTCAGAGCCTTGGGTGTTGTTTCTGCCTTGTATTTTTCTCTTGTTTTAATGTTATGGTTTTTTTTTTTTTTTCCAATATATAAGTCCCTTCTCCCTTTCCCTGGTTCCTTAGCTCCTTTCTTTTCCTCTCCAAATGGTGCCAAAATGTGGAGCAGATAATTGTACTTCAGGAATCAGGAGTAGTGAGATGGAAGATGTGTCTGTAGTACTACAGAAATCAAAAATGCCAAGGGCATTTTCAATAACTAATGTGAGTGTCTCCAGAGGAAGCACACAAAGCAAATGTTTAGTGTTTACACCTGGGAAGCTGTGAGTGCAAGAGAAATGGTTATAAATGTGCTGAAAACCGGAGAGTAGAAATAAAACGGGATAGGAATGATGGAAGGAACAAATAAAGAAAAGTAGATGCTGGATGAATTTCACTCTGAGTCATGACAAAGTGCAGAAATTATGTCTTTCAGCTGTTTAAAACAAGTGAATGTCACGTTTGGAAAGAAACAGAGATGGGGATGTAACTAGGCATTGCTCAAAAGAGAGTCTGGGTGGTTTTCAGGCAGCAGGAACGGAGCCATTTCAGAGGCTGGGGCCCTGCTCCTTCTGCACTGGCTGCAGCGGGGCCCTGGCCATTGTGCAAGCCCTCCTTTGTGCCAAGCCTCAAAACCTGCCGGGCCACAGAGTGGCTCTTCTCGCCAAACACTGAAAGGCTCCAAGCTTGAGACACTTAAAAAATTAGGCAAGACAAAGTGTTGGAAATATATACTCTAGGGCATAATCCTGCCCTGGCAAGGGATTTTACTTGACAGCCTATCTGGGAACCCAGGCTGAAAGCTGCTACTTTGTCCTTAACTCACCCTATAGCACTTTTGTCTCCGAGCTCACTTTGTATGCAGGATCACCCACTGCTGAGGTTCGGCAGAAACTGAGGCGTGACATGATCCAGACGGAGCTCCAACCACACTCGTTGTTAGCAGGTTAAGTCATTCCTTGTTTACAAAGGTAGAGGGGTGGAGTTTTTTCTTAATTGTGCTGAACTCCCTGAGTGCACACTTAGCTTTTTGTGGGCTCAAGAAAGACCTGTAGAACACTTGAGCGGCGTTGTTTGCTGTTCACAGCGGCGCTCTCAAAGGCTTTGCAAAGCGCAAAAGAACCACTGCTTTCGACATGACTGGGATCCCAATCGCTGCAGCTGGAGAGAGGGGACTGGAAAAGCTAGACTGGAGAAGTTGCTTGGCACATATTTAGTCGATGAGTTAATTGGACACTCTCAACGTGGGACTTGTTAATGTCCTGCTGCTTTCCTAATGAGGATATCTGCTGTTGCAAAGAATACAGTGATTAATTGGGGACCATTTAGTTAGTGTCTTTACTGAGGATTTCATGACTAGTGTCTTATGTGTGAACAGAGACTACATTTGCAATTCAACAGGCAGTCCAGCACTGCATGACAGAACTGAACCGGTCCAGGATCTTTCCAAAGTATAGTTGAATTACACTAGAATGAGAATTTTCTGTCTTGGGGAAACAGCTACAGTCGTCGTGACTTACAAGGTGCTGAAACCTCAAACAGTGAATTTCAGTATCTCATACCAATCATTATTGTGATGCTTTCTTTTATCTCAACATTTTGACTTTTGAGTTCAGTGGGCTTTTCAAAAAGTTGATGCACAACTGCCCAGCAATCCATGAGCTGCTCTAGGAGCAATGTATGGCAGAGCCTGGGGCCCATGGTGCTGGTTTTCCAACCTGGGATACTGAGATAAATGTATGGCTTAGCTGTGGCTTAGCTGTGCTGCAAACTCCAGTCTGATTTTGGCTAACTTGGTTCCTGGCCCTGAAACCTTGAGCTGCAGGAGTCTGTAGCAGTCTGTACACTGGGATGGCTGTGCATTCACTATCAAGCTGAATACCTATTGCATGACTCTAGGGAATAATTAGTATGCATGCCTCATGGTGGTTCCAATGGTGCTCATATGGTTTACTGTTCAATAAAAATACATACATAATTGTATGTGTTTTCTTCATATACATATGAATATGCACACATACATGTTTTCTGCATGTGTACATACATATCTGTGGTTTATGCATGGACTCCTTTGTGACATTCTAAGAGGATTCTTCATCCTTGTCCTTCCCCATGTACCCCCAGTATGCAGTGTGAGGTACCCTTCTATAATGAGTGCCCCTGGTTTCTTTTTGGGGACCTGTAGGCTTTTGCACTTCTTTTTATTTCCCTGCTTTTTTCCATGCTTTGTGAAGAGACTGGACTGAAGCCAAGACTGAATAACAAAACGAGCACTGAATAGATGAGAGATTGTAGGTGGGATGCTGAAGTCTATGCGAAGAGTGGGAGGGCAATTTTAAAAATCAGAACTGGATGTAAAGTTAACAGAGAATTGTCTGAGTAAATGTGACTTTGTGGAGTAAAAGGCTAAGTTTGTGTCAAGGCTGAACTCAGTGCTGCTTATTTATAGACAGAAAAAAAGAAATCAACAGGTAGCCTCCCAATGCCAGGCCTGTGTCAAGCTCTTGTGTTTTGAGATGGAACAGCTGTATTAACAGGAGTATATTATAATGATACCTTTGCTGCCTTCTAAATTGCTGGCAGAAATAGCTCTTCTACAAGTACAAGAGGCACTTCTACTTGAGTGCTGGCAAGTGTGACATAAATATCTAGGATGCTATTTCAGTATGTCCAAGTATTCAGAAGCTCCAGTTAGTTTCCTGAGATGGCAGCAAGCTTTGACAACAGTATTGGAGAAGAGGGTTCACAGCAAAAGCTATGTTGGATTGTCTTCAAAGTGCAGAATTAAGGCAACAAAGACAAAAGGCTTGAGCATAATTTTTTCCTGCTGCACTACAAGGCAAAGGCATGATAGCTGAGAATCTCCCTTCAGTTGTGATGGACAGAGGGAGCAAAAAAAAAGTGGTTATGTGTGCCAAAGTCAAAACGTAGCCCTTAAAATTCTGGAGGAGCATTTGAAGTACTGTTGATAGCTTCATGTACTAGTCATGAAGTATGTGAGGATCTTGCCACTGATGGAGAGAAAAATTTA